CACTTTTATTCATACTTGTGGTAATAGCAGATTGGGAGAGTTAGGTTATACATTTGAGAATATTCTTTTTTTTTTTTTTTTCTTTTTTTTTTTTTTCCTTTTTTTTGTCTTTTTTCGTGTCCGGCAACAGATTGCAACCCTCAGTGTCGCGCCCGTACCGGACCGGGACCGGCAACGGGATCGCAACCCTCGGTGTTGCGCCCGCACCTCGCTCAGCCAGTGAGCGGCCAGTCTGTATGTGGGATCCGAACCCTCGGCGGGAACTCCGCCGCGCTCACAAGCTGCGCACCGCAGCAGTGCGCCACCGGGCCGGCCCTATACATTTGAGAATATTCTTTTTTTTTTTTTTCCTTTTTTTTGTCTTTTTTCGTGTCCGGCAACAGATTGCAACCCTCAGTGTCGCGCCCGTACCGGACCGGGACCGGCAACGGGATCGCAACCCTCGGTGTTGCGCCCGCACCTCGCTCAGCCAGTGAGCGGCCAGTCTGTATGTGGGATCCGAACCCTCGGCGGGAACGCCGCCGCGCTCACAAGCGGCGCACTGTAGCAGTGCGCCACCGGGCCGGCCCTATACATTTGAGAATATTCTTTTACTTAGCTTATTCTGATTTATCCAAGTTACTTAATGAAATGTTCCTATTTTAATAATTGGAGAATTTCATCTGCTGTGTGCAATCTAATCTGTATCTATGCTATTTTCCTTTCATTTTTCTGCTATTTGTTAAAATGTGTTTGGATTCTGCAATCTGTGGATTTGTATTTTCTGGTGAGTGGTATTTATCAACCCTCCGTGTAGCATCTCATACCCTGTAAGTGCTGAGTCTTGTTTGGTCTGAGTCTTCCCATGTGAAGCCACAAGGAAGCCTGTCTTTTCATCATGTTCCTAGACATAAAGGCACAGTCCATGGGCCTGAGAGGACTGAGATGGGGAGTAGTTAAGAAGCTTTCCTGGCAGGGAGCATCTTACAAACATCCCTAATTCGAATTGCTGAGGTCCTGACCTAGCCCTCTATTCAGACTCACCATCTTGTCCTGCTGCCCACCCTATCCTCACCCCCTGCCGAGCACCATCAGTCCAGCCTTGTGACAACAAAGTTGCAGAACCAGCTGTCTCTAAAACGAAACACCTTAGGCAGAGGCAGTCTTGAAAATGAGGTCTGACTAAACAGGAGCATGGCAGAGCAAACTTCAGTTGGAAGCATTTGTGCAAGGAGCCTTTGCTGGAAGCAGTGCTGTGTCTGCACAGGGATACAGGGACTCCCATTGGGAAGGGGAGACTTGAGCATCAGGTGTGGCAACAAGGCCAGGTCCCTGAGGTCCTTGCTACGTAGGCAGTCCACGTTCATTGCAGCTTGTGCGACTCTCTTGGCACCATTTCAAGTTCATAAACTCTGGCTGATCAGAGAATGGATGTATTTCTAAGCAAGCCATGCTTCTCTAGACTGGGTGAAAAAAAATCCTTTGCCTTAGGAATGTGATGGTATTATATTTAATTTTTAACGTATTTCTTTCTTTTTTTTTTTTAAAGATGACCGGTAAGGGGATCTTAACCCTTGACTTGGTGTTGTCAGCACCACGCTCAGCCAGTGAGCGAACCGGCCATCCCTATATGGGATCCGAACCCTTGGCCTTGGTGTTATCAGCACCACACTCTCCCGAGTGAGCCACGGGCCGGCCCCTTTAACGTATTTCTAAAGTACCATTTTTTCCTCAAAGAGTCTGGTATAAAATGTTTGGCTTCTTTCTGTGAGGATGTTGACATCAACAATTATATGTTGATGTGTAATTAGCTGTCATTTAATTTTAAAAGCAAGAAAGAATACAATCCAAAAGCACTTCATTTGGGAGAAAAGGGCCTGCAAAAATGGACCTGTAATCCTTTTTTGCATAAAGGACCCTGCTGGGTATCTGAGAGCTCTGGATAGAAAATGCCTCCACATGCACCATTTGGTTCATAGTCTCTGGGAACATCGAGAGCCTCCAAAAGCCTATCCATGGTTAAGAACCTAGTCCCAGAAGTGATTTAAGAATCTGTTTCTTTAACTCTTCAGTCATGAGCATATGGAATCACCATGAGACTAAGTGGCACAGGAGAGAAAGAAGTCAGTATAGATAGTAGCTGCCATTGAGCATGTGGTCGTTGGTGCTGACATCTTCCTTAACATTAAACCTCCAAAGCGCAGAATGTCTGAACGGTCAGCCAGCAGCAGCCTTCTCCAGACCCTCCCTTCAGCCATGACCCCTGTCCAGGGCCTCACTCTGCACAAGGGTCTGCTTCCTGGTGTCCTGCTCTGGCGGGGCCTCTGCTTTGTCCCCTGCTTTTTTCAGTCCCCGCTCAAGTGCACAAATGATCGTGCTCTTTGGGAGTCTGAGGAGACGCTGCCCACCTGTGAGAAGTCCTCCTCACTGGCAGGGAGTTTGTTCTCCTCAGCACCCTGACGGGAGACTGAGAAATTAAAATCTGGTTTGCTTTATTCTAGTGAAGTACCTTCCCTTTGAAATATGCATCCACTATATATTTATGGACATTTTTTCTTCAGTCTTTTTATTTCCCAAATAGTCTTCTTGTCACATACTGTAGTTAACATAACTTTTGGGCTATAAGGTGCTCAGAATGGAATTCAGGTAGAGCACTGAGCAGTCTTAATTGACCTGAAGAGGACCCATAAGTAGGGAGTCAGTAAGGGAACACTTTGCATGTTGGTGGTCTCGACATGAAGTGTGGCACTGGCGTGGAGCATTTCCTGTAAGGCACTTGGCCTATTCCTGCTCTGTCACTGCAGCCTGGGCCTGGTGTGCAGTTCCCCACATGGTGGCCCCCTCTGACCTCCATATTGGGTCACTAGTCCACAGCCCACCTCAAGCCACCTCAGCCCCGCCAGGGCCCTGATGCTCTGAGAGCTGCGTGCTCGCAGTTTATGCTGTGATTCAGTCTAGGTCATGGGTATATGCACATGTGTGTCTGTAGCAGATGTATGGGACTGATTTCTCTTAAATAAAAGAAAATTAATATATTCTTATGAGTGTGGTCCCCTCAAAGCAAACACCTCACAGGGCTATTTAACTATGCATTCTTCATCCAAAGTATTTTTTAGAGCTTCTTTTTAGAATTGCCTCCGGAGTCTGTGACATTCTTAACTGTCTTGAGTGACAGCAAATCATCCTGCTTTGCAGATGGTTTGGATCTTTGAGAAATTGCTAGGAGTCATCAGAAGTGATGGTGATTATGAGACCAAGAAATAAAATATTTGGTCCAAGACAGAGTATCAGTGATAAACTAATTCACTTTTTCTTATGTGTCTGTTTTGAAGCACATTTCCAAAAAAACTTTTAGCAGAGGCAGCATAACTGGAATAAGCCTCTTAAGGTGACTCTTTGAAAGGATATCACACTCATCTGTAATTCTGAGGTGTGTTTAAAACAATTAGGCTCATTACATCCTAGTACATCTTCTATAAGGGTGTGTAGTGTCTTTCTCTGAAGTTCATGCTGACAGCATAAGGTTGAGATCATAAAATGCATGCTCAGTTATAAAACTGAATATCTGCCAAGCATTTGGCTACACATTTAATTAGAAGTATTGGGTGCCACATAATTTAGCTTCCAATGCAGTGAATAGAGGTACCACTTGGTCAAAATCAGAATTTCACACCATCTGATCTGCTTTAACTGATAGAGCATAATCTAAATTATTCACTTCAACCCATAGAATCTGTCCTGTTCTTTATCCTGTAGAGAATTAATTTGGGAACCTGAGAGCTCACCGCAGCACTCAGCCTTTGCATCTTCTGCCCAGGATGGAGCTGCCAGAGGAAACACACTATGGGGACATGAGGGGTGGTGGCTCAGCAGATCTCGCTGGGGTCCCAGACCTTGCAGGCAGCCTTTTTTGCTGTGCGGACGAGCAGCAGGCTACCTGTGCTGCAGGGACAGCTTCCATGCCCAGCAGCATGAGGTCTGAGAGACAGAGAGCACAGCCTTTTTACTGATGGAGAAGTCAGATGCGATTCTGAGACGATTTTGTAATCTTTGGCAGTTTACATCTCTAACTTTCCTCATCCCAAGACCCAGTTCAGGCTTTTCTGGGAATCAGATTTTGCTATGTGCATTTTAAATAAAAGATCTCTGTGAGGGTTGCCTAACCACGGAATGCTCTGAAGTGGCTCTCTGGCCAGCGAACTCATAAGCATTTCCTGGGCTAGCCAGGCCACTAATGGAAGGAGGAAGAGTCGGGTGGGTGCTGTCCCACGGCCAGTGAAAAGAGGGTTAGTTTCTGCTGAGGGAGTTTCCCTTTAATGTTCAAGTCCAGCCTGTTGGCTGGAGCACCGGCTCTAATGTTTCAGAGCCGGGGTTGAGGAGGATCTGCGTGTCCTCCCAGGGAGGCAACACACGCAGGTCCTCTTACAGCCAAGCTCCTTTTTCAGGAGCAGAGGTTTCCGTCCTGTCCTCCCAGTGCAAGATGCTGGGGTTGCTGCTGGGCCTTGAAGTCCACACCAGCATGTGCACTCTGTTCTTGGGCACCCTTGGCCCCCATTGGTTAGTCCAGGGAGAGAGCTACAGTCCAGGAAGGGAGCTGCCTTTTGTGGGGCCAAAGGTCAGTCAGGAAGCCCCCTGTGCCCCTTAGGGGGGAGGCTTGGCCCCTCACCTCGGCTGGTGGTCCAGCTGCCCCCATGCCTCTGTAAACTGAGTATCCCACCTGGAAAGATGAGGAGTATTGCTCTCTGATGAAGCTTTTTATTATTTTAGTAAAAAGAATAGTCTTTACATTTGTACTTTTCCAGGAAAGTTACTGGGTTCTCATGTTAGTTGCTTCCTAGAGTCCCCTGAGACCTGTGCCTTGTGGTTTTTGGTTTTTTCTGTGGCCCTCGGGAGATGGGGTTGGTGTTGGGTAACATACATTATTTCACTAGAAAGGAGTCAAGTCAAAACTAATTTGGGGGGTAACAAAGCCAGAAAGCAACATAGTTGTTAAACTCAGCCAGAGCCAAGGGACTTGCCTGATCATCCCCATCATTGGTGAGAGGCAGTCATTTCACCAGCATAAGCTGTCACCTCACCCTTGCAGCCATCCGTCTTTCCATTCACCCTCTCCTTGGCTATCGCCACCGTGCTACTGATGAGATCACTGCATTTTATGTGGACCACATCACACTCCACCACCTGTCTGTCTGAAGCATGCTCAAAAGCACACTCTTCTGGGCCCAAATCCTCTACAGTCCTGTCAGGGGACTTGGCGCTGAAGAAACTAAGTAACCATGCCAACCCAAGGATTCTTGGATCAGGCCTCTTCTTTTTAGGGAGGGTTGGAGAAAATGACAGTGTATAGGAGCGCTCACATCTTGACCCCGCCACTGTGGGGCATGTGTGCATGGTGTGTGCATGCGTGCATGTGCTCTCTTTCTAAGCAGAGCTATGTGATGGGCAGGCTGCAGTGGTGACCCTCCCCCTGTCCAGTTGCAGGCCGAGGGCATACTGTCTGGCCGACAGTGATGAGGAGTCCTCCAGTGCGGGCTCCTCCGATGAAGACGACGCCCCAGAGCCCAGTGCAGGAGACAAGCAGCTCCTCCCAGGGGCTGAAAGGTGAGTGGATCAAAGCTTCTGGATCTCCAGACATCAGGGCAGCATGCTGGGAGTGAGCCCTTTTCCCTTCCTTCCTCCAGGTTCTTCCTTACTCCTTCAGGCTCAGCGAATGGTTTTTGCATTCATGTCCAGTGTCAGTGGCTTGTTTAAATTCCAGGCCCCAAGGTGAAAAGACCCATATAGTTTTCCTTACATAAGAGGGTCCCAACCAAAATGACAGTCTCTTGCCATTTGAGTAAATAATTGAGAAGGTGAAGGGCATGCTTTTCGTGAACAGCGGTGCCTTGGGTCTTTTGTGCTCCAAAAGCGGAGCACAGGCTACACACCACTCCCCCTGGTGCCCAGCCGAGAGAAAGCCTTGCTCCCCTTCAGCTGGATTAGATTTGCTTTTGTTAAGTTGCTAGTTCCTACAAAGCCAGAATATTCTGATGATTTATTTGGTGAATTTTGAAAATGTGGATCTTTTGGATCATGAACTTTATTTGGGGGACTCTCTTTGCCTTTTACTCAGACCAAAGTGCTTAAACAGACTCTCCATAAAGATCTCCTAATTATTTTCTGGTGCCCAGCCGAGAGAAAGCCTTGCTCCCCTTCAGCTGGATTAGATTTGCTTTTGTTAAATTGCTAGTTCCTACAAAGCCAGAATATTCTGATGATTTATTTGGTGAATTTTGAAAATGTGGATCTTTTGGATCATGAACTTTATTTGGAGGACTCTCTTTGCCTTTTACTCAGACCAAAGTGCTTAAACAGACTCTCCATAAAGATCTCCTAATTATTTAAAGTGAGTTGAAATTAAGATTATAAAGAAGCCAGGTGACTCAAGCTTTTTAAGAAAATATCAACCTATTCACTTTTGAAATCCTGCAGTAGATGAAAATTCAGACATTTGAGGAATTGGTGCTGAAGTTTACATGCATTATTTAAAATGTAGCTTTTTGACCTTCTTAAGAATGATTATTTTTCCCTGCATATATGCTCTGGAATTGTGGAGGATTTAAAAAAGCAATTAGCCTCTCTTCTTAGGGCAGTCTTATAGTAGATATGACCTGATACAAAAGTTTATTTTCTTGGCCTCCTAGCACGTCAGCTTGATGTACCATTTTTCTTTTTTTCTTTTTTTTTTTTTAAAGATGACCGGTAAGGGGATCTTAACCCTTGACTTGGTGTTGTCAGCACCACGCTCACCCAGTGAGCGAACCGGCCATCCCTATATGGGATCCGAACCCGTGGCCTTGGTGTTAGTAGCACCGCACTCTACCGCGTGAGCCACGGGCCGGCCCTGTACCATTTTTCTTTAAGAAGTTCCAAGCCCTTTGAAAAGTAGTTGCCACTCAGAGTTGGTAGACACCACCTAAAGGCAGTCAGTTAATTACTGTTTTGTGTACCTATCAATGCAGCATTGTTTTAGTCTGTTTTGTGTTGCTATAACAGAAACACCTGAGGCTGGGTAATTTATAAAGGAAAGAGGTTTATTTGGCTTAAGATTCTGGGACAGCTGCATCTGGCATGGGCCTCAGGCTGCTTCTACTCATGGCCGAAAAGTGGCAGCAGCCGGCAGGTACAAGCACATGGCGAGAGAGGAAGCAAGAGAGAGAGAGAAGGTGCCAGGGTCTTTTTAAGCAACGAGCTCTCACAGGAACTAATCGAGT